GTGCCCAAAGTCCGGAACTCCTTGTGAGGGATTTTACGGGGAAATTTTGGGGCAGGGGTCTCCTGAGAGGGTGGGCGCTGTTGATTGGAGGCTCGTGAAGTCTTGTTCACAAATGTTACTTTGTTACTTCAAGTGGCTTCATCTGGTCCATGGACGTGTGCTCTAGCTCAAGAGACTTGGAATCTGAAAAACGTATTTCTCAGAGAGTTCATTAGGTACATCTGGTGATTGTGTGCTTGGGATAGTGTTGATCACCTGCTATTAAGTGCCTAAACTAACTGCTTGCTCTGTGAGTAAACCAGTGGGGTCATGATCCTTTTAATAAGTAAGCATTCGTATCTCTTGAGCCTGGGCCTACGCTTTCCCTGGAAGGTCCAGCTGTGCTTGGGAATGATTCATTCTTTCATCTGAACTAACAAATTGGATGCCAGCTTCATATGCCAAATCTGCACCTGCTTTCTTGTCCACCCTTTTTCCGGTGCAGAAAGGCCTTTGCCATTCAGCATCCAGGAACCAGGCAGGATTTGATTACTTCTTTAATGTGAACTGAGTTTCTGGGGATAAGGAAGTTGGAAGGTATACCCCAGCCTCCCTCCAACCCCACCCCTCAAGAGCTGGTTTGGAGCACAGTTAGGGAACTTTGGTACAGTCACCTGATTTTTTTCCAGATTGACTTAACCTTCTTTAGGATGCAGTGTGTATTTATTTCTGAGAAAAGCAGGGTAAGAGTAATTCTGGCATACCACCCCCACCCCCCATCACCAGAATGCAACATCCTTTCTGGTGATTCCCTAAAGTGTGTTGGAGCAGACCCTTAACCTCTCCTTACAGAAGAGCGAAGAACTCGGCCCCTGCAATGGGACACGCCAGGTAGAGGAGCCGGAATTTTTCTGTAGGCCTTGGGAACATTTAGGTAGTATGTTAGGTCAGCCCTTAGAAAGGCAGCTTTGGCAGCAGGAAGAGGGGGAATGGAAAGAGGTCAACGGAGAGCCAGGGAAACCAGGAGAAACCCTCCCTGTTTCTTCTCTCCGAGAGAGTGAATCCTTCTATCTTAGGTCGCCTGCCATAACAGAACACCATGGACTGCGTAGTGTTAGTAACAGAAGTTTATTTTCTCACAGTTCTAAAGGCTAGAAGTATAAGGTCAAGTTCTGGAAGGGTTGATTTCTAGCGAGGACTCTCTTCCTGATTGCAGAAGGTGCCCTTCTTGCTGTGTCTTCCTACAGGAGTGGGAGGAGAGAGCAAGCTCTTGGTGTCTTTTCTTATAAGGACACTAATCCTGGGGCACCTGGGTGGCTCAGTCGGTTAAGCATCCGACTTCAGCTCAGGTCACGGTTCGTGGGTTCGAGCCCTGCATCGGGCTCTGTGCTGACAGCTAGCCTGGAGCCTGTTTCAGATTCTGTGTCTCCCTCTCTCTCTGACCCTCCCCTGCTCATGCTGTCTCTCTCTCTCTCTCTCAGAAATAAACAAAAAACATTACAAATTTTTTTTAAAAATAAGGACACTAATCCTAGCAGATCAGAACCCCACCTTTATGACCTCATTTAACCTCAATTACCTCCTATCTCCAAATACAGTTGCACTGGGGGTTAGGGCTTCAACATAGGAATTTGGCAGGGGGACCCAATTAGTCTATAGCACCCTTCTTCTTCCTCACGGCTCCAGTCATCCCACATACATAACTGAATTGTAGACTGTATCATACGTTAAAGTACTATTTATTTTTTTGGTTTTAAAAGTAACACACATTCAGAGTAGAAAGTGTAGGAAATGAAGAATAATATAAAGAAAATAAAAACATCTCCAAACCCACACCTTATAGCTAAACAAAGTCTTTTTCCCCCTGTGTATATACACTTATACATGATTTGTACTCAATTTGGATCCAACAGTATAAATTTTTTTTGTTTTAGTAACAGCTTTCTTGAGATATGATTTGCATACCATACAATTTACTCATTTTTTAAAAGATTTTTTTGTTTTTGTTTTTAAGTAATCTGTACACTCAGTGTAAGGCTCAAACCCACAACCCTGAGGTCGAGTCACATGCTCTGCCAACCGAGCCAGCCAGGCGCCCCACAATTTACCCTTTTAAAATGGTGTACAATCCAGTGGTTTATAGTATATTCACAGAGTTGGGCAACCATCACCACAATCCATTTTAAAAATTAAAGTAGGTGACTTATTTAAGTTTATTTATTTATTTTGAGAGAGCATGAGCAGTGGAGGGGTGGAGAGAGAATCTCAAGCAGGCTTCACACTGTAAGTGTGGGGCCTGAAGCAAGACTCAAACCCACAAACCATGAGATCAGGACCTGAGCCAAAATCAAGAGTTGAATGCATAAGCGACTGAGCCACCCAGGCGCTCCATCACAATCCATTTTAGAACATTTTTATCATCTCAAAAAAAACCCATGGCCTTCCGCTGCCAACCTCCAGTCCCACCCATTTTCATAGCCTGAGGCAACCTCTTTTTTAAAATTTTATTTTAGAGAAAGAGAGTGTGTGTAGGAGATCAGGAGCAGAGCGAGTGAGCGAGAGAATCCCAAGCAGGCTCCATGCTCAGCCTGGAGCCAGACACAAAGCTCAATCCCCTGGGATCACAATCAGCTGAAATTAAGAGTCAGATTCTCGACCCACTGAGCCACACAGGCACCCCAGCCCTAGGCAACTTCTAATCACCTTTCTGTCATGATAGATTTGCCTATTCTGGACACTTCATATAAACACAGTCATATAATATGTGGTCTTTTGTAAATGGCTTCTTTCACATAGCATTATGTTTTCAAGGTTTGTTCATGTTTTAGCATGACACATTCCTCCTGATACATGATACATTCCTGTAGTAGCATGATCCTTCACTCCTGTTTTTTTTTTTAACGTTTTTATTTATTTCTGAGAGAGAGAGATATACAGCGTGAACAGGGGAGGGTCAGAGAGAGAGGGAGATATAGAATCTGAAGCAGGCTCCAGGCTCTGAGCTGGCAGTCAGCACAGAGCCCAAGGCGGGGCTCAAACTCACAAACCATGAGATCATGACCTGAGCCAAAGTTGGACGCTTAACTGACTGAGCCACCCAGGCTCCCCTTCACTCCTGTTTCTTGTAAACAGCTTTATCGAGCTATAATTCACATACCATACAATTCACTCATGTAAAGTATTAGTTACATTTGGTATATTCACAACATTGTGCAACCATTACCACACACAATTTTATTTTATTTTATTATTTTTAAAAAAAGTTTAGAAAAAAAATAAAAATAAAAAAATAAAAAAGGTTTAGGGCTTGCATTTTATTTATTTATTTTATTATTATTTTAATGTTTTATTTATTTTGGAGAGAGAGACAGTGTGAGCAAGGGAGGGTCAGAGAGAGAGGGAGACACAGAATCTGAAACAGGCTCCCGGCTCTGAGCCAGCTGTCAGCACAGAGCCCGATGCAGGGCTCGAACCCACGAACTGTGAGATCATGACCTGAGCCGAAGTTGGACGCTTAACCAACTGAGCCACCCAGGCGCCTCTTCCACACGCAATTTTAGAATGCTGTTGTCACCCCAAATTTCGTTTCTTTTTATGGCCAGATAATATTCCATTGTATGGGTATGCCATATTTTATTTTATTTTTTAATATTAATTTTATTTATTTTCAGAGAAAGAGAGAAAGAACAAGGGAGGGGCAGAGAGAGAGAGACTCCGAAGCAGGCTCTGCTCCACCAGCACACAGCAGAGACTGATAAAGGGCTCCATCCCAAGGTTTGTGAGCTCATGAACCATACCTTTCATAAGCTGAAATCAAAAGCCAGATACTCGTAGAAACTAATTTGACAATAAACTATTTGTAAAAAAAAAAAAAAAAAACACAAAAGCCAGATACTCAATTGACTACACCACCCATGCACCCCTATACCATATTTTATTTATCCTCCCATCAGTTGGTGGACATTTGTACTTTGTGGATATTATGAATAAAGCTGCTATGAACACATGTTTTCATTTCTCTATGACAGGAATTTCTGGGTCTATGATAAACTACAGGTCCAACCTTTTGAGGAACTGCCAGACAAACCGTGTGATTTTTTTTCAGTCCTGATTTTCTCTGAACATTAATCATGTGCGTTTTCATTAACTGTTAAATTGTTGAGTGTTCTTTGAACACTTGGCTTTTAATGTTTGCAGAGTTCCAAATCTTAACCAATCCCCTGTTATTGGGCATTTAGATTATTTCCAAATTTTGTATTATAAACAGCATTTCAGTGAACATATTTGGGCATCAACTTTTTGTGAAACTTTTTTAAATATTTATTTTTGAGAGAGAAAGAGAGAGAGCACAAGTGGGAGAGGAGCAGAGAGAGAGGGAGACATAGAACCCAAAGCAGGCTCCAGGCTCTGAGCTTTCAGCACACGAACTTAAACTCACGAACTGCAAGGTCATGACCTGAGCCAAAGTCAGATGCTTAACTGACTGAGCCACTCAGGCAACCTGGGCATCAATATTTGTATGCATCTCTGGTTATTTCTGAAAAGCAGATTAGTCAGACCATTGAATCAAAGAGTACAGGCAGATTTAAAGCTCTTCGTACATAAAACCTTCCAAAAAAGTTGTGTCAGTTTGCACTCCGGCAAGTTGAGTTTGGGAATGCCAGTCTCACACCACCTTATCTTTTCATGTATTTTGAAGTCACCAAGACAGGAACTTTAGACATCTTTGACCCCATACCCAGCTCAAAGTGTAGCACATAGCCACATAGTAACATAGTTCATGTTACACAAATTAGTGTGAGCAAAGGAAGGCCCAGGCACTGCATTAACAGAGGCCATGGGATGGAGACGAAGGTGCGAGTATCTGAGTCATCATGAAGACAGGCTCCACAGGACTTACCACCTGGCTGACATGGGAACCCACTGCAGAGTCAAGTGGTAATAAAGCATCATGAGGCCAAGAACTCTCCACATGGAAGTTGAAGTTGACCAATGTGAGATGAGGAAGTCATACACCACGGTCACTTAGGGACAGATGCTGGTAGGGATGGGGTGAAGACTGGTGGTGACTCCTTTTTGTACTCCACTCTGTGGGCAGCAGTCTTTATATGGAGTGCTGGAAGAATGACCTTCACTGAGCTAGCAAGGTCATCAAACTCTCTGTCCACTTGGATACCCTGAGAAGAAACCCATTACAAGGCAATACATTATCACCTTCTGAGAACTTCACTGTTTTTCACTTGTGCACACAAGGCTTTAAGAAAATCCTTAAGTCAGCTTCTCTACTATGGTTGACAATGTCAGTAGTCCCCAAACTATTAAAATAGAGAAGGGAAGGGGCTCTAGGAGAGCTCCTTGGAGCTTATGCCATTTCTTGATCTAGGGGCTGGTTGCATAGGTGTGTGCTGTTTGTGGAAATGGACACCCTGATCCATGTGCACTTTTCAGCATAAATGTTATTCCTCAATAACAAATGAAAAGCGTGGGGAGTGAGGGGAAGAATACTAGCACCAGTGGCATCTTTCTCTACCTTTTCTGTGAGCTCTGATATCTCATACCCTCTTCACAATGACCCTGGGTGGGAGATTTTAGCTCCATTTCACATAAAGGCAAGGCTGAGCCCTGGGAAGGGTTTTACATGAACTGTAAGGATTTAGTATTTCTTTAGGGGTGCCTGGGTGGCTTAGTCGGTTAAGCATCCGACTTTCGCTTAGGTCATGATCTTGCAGTTCGTGGGTTCAAGCCCCGCGTCAGGCTCTGTGCTGACTGCCAGCTCAGAGCCTGGAGCCTATTTCGGAGTCTGTGTCTCCCTCTCTCTCTGACCCTTCCCTGCTCACACTGTCTCTCTCTCCTAGAAATAAATAAAAATATTAAAAAAAAAAAGAAGTATTTCCTTTAAAACTGAAGAGTATCTAGGCTAGGGAGATTAGACTAATAACAGTTAAGGGACAGGAAAATGGAATATTGCATCTAGACAAGTGTTGCTTTCCAATTCAGAAGATCCCATGTTGATGGACTCAGGATTTGGTCCCAGGCCTGATTCCAAAGTCTGTGGTGTTCCCGTTACACCGAAAGCTTCTGCTAATAACCATACATTATATTGAATAAGCATGTATTTTTGCAGAACAGTTTCACATATAATTCCTTTTGTTTAAATGATGGAACCCAGTGCTGTCAGAAATTCTCAGAGCAGGAGGAACATGGTCAAGGCATGCTAATCTCTGGCTTTGGAGTAGTAGAAACTGGGCAGGCAGAAGGAAGAAATAAGGAAACAATAAACAATAAGAAGAAGGAAGCATCATCATTTGTCCCAAACCTGAAGGATTAGAAATGTAAAAACGTCTCTGGAAAGGCTTTGACTCAAATCTTGTTTTAAATAAACCAGGGTTAGAATAAGCAGTGATTTGTGACTAGACTTTTAATAACTTGTATTTGGAGATTCTCTCCTTAATGTTTAACTGCATATATCATTTTCTATATTTTTAAGTTTATTTATTTTGAGAGAGATAGAGAGAGAGAGTGCAGGGGAGGGGAAGACAGAGGGAGAGAGAGAATCCCAAGCAGGCTCCCTCTTTTCAGTACAGAGCCCAACATGGGGCTTGATCCATGAACCGTGAGACCATGACCTGAGCCAAAAGCAAGAGTCAGACACTTGACCAACTGAGCCATCCAGGTGCCCTGAATTTTCTATATTAAAAAGGAACAATTGAGATGCAGTTTGTTGAGAATCTGACTCTTGATTTCAGCTCAGGCCATGATCCCAAGGTCGTGGGACCAAGCCCTGTGTCAGGATCCATGCATGGAGCCTGCCTAAGATTCTCTCTCTCTCTCCTTTTGCTCCTCCTCCCCCCAAAAAGCACAACTGAATGAAAAAGAGTCTTAATCTCCCTCAAAGTCACATGAGTGAATCTTCCAGCACCAATATCCACCTGTAGGCAGAATAGGGCAGAGAGTGAGGTGGGGGCGCTTGTAAGTACTGAGTCTGCAAATCCAAACATCAGTGAACAGTGAGCTTTGTGTCCTCTGAGCCAGTTCCCTCTCAGACAATGAAGAACACAGGCAGAGTTCAGAGGTGAGACCACAGCGGTATCCTCCCAGTCAGGAGTGGAAATAAAGCCACAGTGGCATTGTGGCCCTCCATTCAGGCCTGGGGTTGAACTCAGACTTAGCCACACTAAGTACCTGGGCAGGACACCCTCTTTCTGTAATTCCTACTTTCTTCCTCTAAATGATAACTCATGGGGCTATTGGAAGGATCACAGATGAGATTTATGAAAAGCTCTTTTTTTTTTAATGTTTTTTACTTATTTCTGGGAGAAAGAGTGAGAGAGAGCGTGAGCAGGGGAGGGTCAGAGACAGAGGGAGACATGGAATCTGAAGCAGGCTCCATGCTCTGAGCTAACTATCAGCACAGAGTCCAACACAGGACTTGAACCCACAAACCGTGAGATCATGGCCTGAGCCAAAGTCGGACATGTAACCAACTGAGCCACCCAGGTGCCCCAAGATTTATAAAAAGCTCTTACAGAGAAATCCAGCAGTTCTAGGGCAGACGCTGGATTATCCCGGACAGACTTTAGAACTCCAAAGCAGCCTTCACCTCGCATGGGATTCCTGGACACCTGAGAAACACACACAATTGAGAAAAACTGAGCCAAGGGAGGCTGGAGGTGGAGCAAGTCAAAAGGGAGGGATTCCTCTTCTTTGATGACAAGTGGCTCAGGACAACTCCACTGTCTCAGCTCAGAAGTTGTCTCCACTCACAGAATACCCTGGGTGAGGCTGTGAGGCCAGGGAAGAGAGGAAGGGAGTATGCACTGGCTGAGCACCCACCATATGCCAAAATCTGGGCTGGGTGCCAAAGATACGGACACACAAGGCACAGCCCTGCCTTAAAGGAATTCCTTAAAGGAATTCACCCATCATGGAAAGGAGAGGAAAAAGAAGCATCATGAAAATGCAGTGTGATAAGTGCAGTGAGAGTGTGCATCAGCTCTTCTGGGGAGGTGAAGGTTAGGCACCTGCACTGAGCTTTACAGGTGAGGTGGGCAGACCTGGGTATTTCAGCAAGAAGAGCAGGAGGAGCTAAATAAAGGGGAGAAATTGCACCATGTGCAGAGAATTCAGAGAAGTTTGGGGTGAGAGAATGAGCAGAGGGGTTATGGCAGAGCCCAGAGCCCAATATGCTGTGAATGACGTACTACTAACCTTGGATTTATCCAGAGGGAGCCACTGACAGGTTTAAAGCAAGGAGGGACAGGAGCATGTTCCTGGTTTAGAAAGATCACCTGGTAGGTGAGAAGGAAGGGCCACAAATGGGAAACTCACAGGTTAACAGAACATGAGGGGAAGTGAGAAGGAAGAGCAGACAGCCTGAGCACCTTGCAGAAAGTAAGATGAAGGATGGAAGGCAAGGCAAAGGGAGGGGTGAGCACTGGGCCCCTGCTTTTGACTCAGTGAAGAGCCCCTCCCCCCACCAAGAGAGAGAGGGGATGCCTTCAGGTTGTGCTTTATGCCCATTGGGACGTCCAGGGGATGGTCCAGCAGGTGGCTATAAATGGGGATCCAGAGCTTAAGAGAGGTCTGGGCTGCAGGGGGAGAGTGGATGGGAGGGCTTCAGGGGGCTCTTCTTTTTTGTTAATGTTTATTTATTTTTGAGAGAGAGAGCATGAGCGGGGAGAGGCCGAGAGAGGACACAGAAGATCTAAAGTGGGCTTTGTACTAACAGCAGAGAGACTGATGTGGGGCTTGAACTCATGAACCATGAGATCATGACCTGAGCTGAAGTCTGATGCTAAACCGACTGAGCCACCCAGGTGCCCACGGGGGGCTCTCCTGCCAGTTGATGGAGCTGAGAGCCAGGCAGGGCTGGATGCCCCCCTGGACCTGGCAGTACTATTCTCGGAGCACAGTGGCCCTCTTAGGCTCCACCTTCCATTGCACCCTCCCTTTTCCTACCCGACTGGCAACCCTGAAAGAAGGGAACCCCCTGCTGTCACACAAGGCCTCAGGTAGGGCTGAGCATGGCCAACGGTACAGCTGGGTTGACCCAGTGAGCTGAGAAGGAGCAAGGCCAGCTGGGAGGTGGGGGTGACACTGCTGGGGCAGGAGGGAAGGATGGATGAGGGAGAAGTCGGAAGAAGTGCCGGGGTCAGGCCAGAGGCGGGTGAGGGAACGGCAAGGGAAAGAAGTGGTCACAGGGGGAAGCCAGGAGGCCCCCTCCTTCATCTGGGCTCTAGAAATTTCATGCCCCACTGCCACTAGTGTGGGGAGATGCAGCAGAGGAGAGATCTGTGTGGACACATACAGGCAGGTCTATGCTGGGGCTTCCCCCATCAGGCTAGCACTCACAACAAGAATCCTCAGTGTCTGGTTGACCCGGAGGCCCAGGCCCAGGCTCAAGGCTCCCACTGCAGAAATACGGTTGTTGCTGCAAGAGAAAGACACATGCATTTTGCTACCTTCTGAGCAGCTGTGAAGAGCCAGACGGTCCCAGGGTCCCAGCTGGTGTTGCTGGTGCATCCACCTGGTTGGGCTTCATGTTCCAGCCTCCACTGATGCCCCAGGAGCCCTGGGCAGGTCAGTATGTAAAAGCCGGTAACAAACCTGCTTCACCGGAGGTTCCCAGTGTTGTGGGAGATCACTCAGCAAGCACACCTGGAGCATCCCTCCCCCACTCCCCCCTCACCCCCCCCACCCCACACCACCCCAGTGAGGCCAGGTGCTGCTCCCCGGTCCTCAGAGCTCAGCAGGTCCTCCTGCATGTTCTGCCCTAGTTGGCTCTCCATTCTTTCACCATGACACTGTCTATTCTGGAAACCACCCAGCTCCCTCCCCACGTTTTCTCCTCCTGCTGGTCAAGAAGGACCTAAACTCTGGCCCAGCACCTCTCTTGGCCCCTTTATCTCCAAGCCAGTCCCACATCCCTCTGACTTCTCAGACCCCGGCGCTGGCTCCAATTTCAGCATGTCTTGTGGTGCTGTCCTCTGGCCTTGGCTCCTTCCATGGGGAAGAAAGGGACAGGATTGCAGCAGACACAGTCTGCTCACTCCAGCAGTCCCCTGGGGAAGGGCTCAGCCACAGCACGCCAGGACCTGTTGGGCTTCTGCCTCTTTCTTTCCCTGTGGTTTGCAGGCCCTGCCCTGGTTACCTGCTGTAGGCTGGGGCCCTGCGGGGGCCTAGAGGAGCAACTCATACATGGTAGGCACCCAGCAGCCATGTGCTGACCAGAGCATGCGAGCACCCACCGCATACCAGGCTCTGCTGAAGACTTTTTTCAGGTTTTATTTTTAAGTAATCTCTATACCTAATGTGGGGCTCAAACTCACAACTCTGAGATCAAGAGTCACATGCTCTATTGACTGAGTCAGCCAGGCACTCTCCCTCTTTTTTCTTTTAGAGAGAGGGAGAGCATGAGTGGAGGAGGGGGTCAGTGGAAGAGAGAGAGAGAGAGAGAGACTTTTTAAGTGAAGATGTTTTACATGTATGTTTTCATTAGCAGCCCCCATCTGTCTGTCAGGAATTATGAACTCCAAGGTACAAATGCTGAACTTGAGGTGCACCTGGTTGGCTCAGTTGAATTAGCCCATGGCTGTTGATCTTGGGGTCATGAGTTTGAACCCCTTGTAGGGTGGTAGGGTATAGAGATTACTTAAATAAAAAAATTTTAATGTTTTTTTATTTATTTTTGAGAGAGAGAGACAGAGACAGAGACCGCATGAGCAGAGGAGGGTCAGAGAGAGAGACACACAGAATCCAAAGACGAACTCCAAGCCCTGAGCTAGCTGTCAGCAGAGCCTGACGTGGGGCATGAACCCACGAACCATGAGATCATGACCTGAGTTGAAGTCAGACGCTTAACTGACTGAGCCACCCAGGCGCCTTTAAATAAATTTTTTTAACTTAAAAAAAAAATCCAAATGCTGACTTGAGTGAGAAGGATGGAGCTGGGTGCTCTTGGATTGTGGCTCGGCCCATCATGGGTAAACTGTGGTAGGTTGGGAGTTGTTAAGGTGGTAAACAGCAGCAGGATCACAGAGTCTCTAGTCCCTCAGGTGGCTATGGACCTGGAGACTGTGACACAAGGCCACCCTGTGTGCCTCACCTCATGTTAAGTTCCTCCAACACATTGTTGGTCTTAAGTGCCTCACCCACTGCAGATGCTCCAGGATCTCCAAAGCCATTGTATGAGATGTCCAGGACTCTCAGGAAGATGTTTGCCTAGAATGCAAAAGAGTGAAGCCAGGAGACCACCTGTAAAGTGGAGAAAGCCAGAGCCCAGGAGGCCCAGGGTACAAAAAAGCATGGATTGAGAGCAGGTCAGAGGTTCCTAGTAAGAGTCTTATGGCTTGGAAGATGGTGACGGGGAGAACCAAATGTCTGGAAGCACAGCACTGAGGGTGGGTGTGGGGAGTGGGGCTCAAGGGCCGGTACTCGGAGACACAGAGCAGGATCCTAGAGGGGCTCCAGTGAAGAGCTCTTGGGGGTCTGTGATGGGAGAAGGGCAGGAGCTTGTGGGCGCACTGGGAAGACAGAGCCTGACATATTACCCTGTGGGGCAGGATCCCCAGGTCAGCCCCTGGGGGGGGGCAAGGCAGCTGCTGCCATTCTCTGAGGAGGACCCCACAAAGTTAGCCAGCACTGGGGGCATCCTGGCAGGGGCTAGGAGTCACCCATTCCCAAGGCTTATGAACCACAACATCCAAGGAAGCAGGTAGGATGTTTAAGAGTGTATGCTGGGACCCAAGGATGTAGGGCTGTCACCTCCAGGAAGCACCTGCATATGCCCATAGCAGGCATGTGTCACCAGACTGCACGATGCCCCCCACCAGCCATTTGTCTGTAATATCTGGAGAAGTCGTGCAACATTCAACTGCAGACTCTTCAGTAAATGACACAAGAGTGAGCATGATATATTTGAGTCATGAAATGGGGCTGGGAAAATTAAAGTCACCAAACAAAATATTCTTTAAGCTCTGCTTGAAAGATCCAAGGCTCATTTATGAAGAGTTGCAAAGATAAGAAGCTGGCACCTGGGAGACCTGTCCTCACAGGACAGGTGGGAAGGGCAGATGGGGGACAGAGGTGTTCATACCTCAAGTCCCCTGGCAAAGGCTACAGCTCCTGGTCCTCGAAGGTGATTCCAGCTTATATTAAGCTCGGTGAGTCCTGTATTTTCTGCTAGGGCTGGTCCGAGCATCTCCCCTTCAGAAACACCAAGACAGCTCTTATTCACTGTGTTCTTTCCTTCAAAAAGTGATACTGATGACTGCTGTGTGCCAGGGTCTCCACCGGGCACAATGGTCACCAAGTTGAACCCAATATGGGCCCGCCCTGACCTCAAAGAATTCACATTTAATGGAGGAGATGCAGTTGACCCTTGAATAACACATGGGTTAGGGACGCCAAACCCCTGTGCAGTCAATAATCTGTGTATAACTTTGACTCCCACAAACCTCAACTACTAACAGCCTACTGCTATTAGACCTTAGAAAGAAGAAAGACTTTACTGAGAATGTAAAGTGTTGATTAACACATATTTTGTATGTTATATATATTATATGCTATATTCTTACAATAAAGTAACCTGAAGAAAATATTTATTATTATTATTTCAAGTGTTTATTTTTGAAAGAGTCAGAGAGCGAGCAGGGGAAGGGCAGAAAGAGAGGGAGACATAGAATTTGAAGCAGGCTCCAGGCTCTGAGCTGTCAGCACTGAGCTCAACATGGGGCTTGAACTCATGAATGGTGAGATCATGACCTGAGCTGAAGTCAGACACTCAACCAACTGAGCTATCCAGGTGCCCCACGTGCAGAAAATATTATTAAGAAACTTATGGGGGGGGTGCCTATGTGGCTCAGCTGGTCGAGCATCTGAGTCTTGATTTCTGGTCAGGTCACGATCTCGTGGTTTGCGAGATCAAGACCAGTGTTGGGCTCTGTGATGACAGCATGGAACCTGCTTGGGATTCTCTCTCCCCAGTCTCTGCCCCTCTCTTGCTTACACACATGCTCTCTCTCTCTCTCTAAAAATAAATAAATAAAAGTAAAAAAAAAAAAAGAAAGAAAATCATAGGAGGAAATACACTTACAATACTGTACTGTATTTATTTGAAAAATGTGTATAAATGGACCCACGCAGTTCAAATTCACGTTGTTCAAATGTAAATACAAATTAATGGGATGTGAGACTGCAAACGGGGATGTGTGGGAACAGGGTGGGGACTCTGTTTTGAGGGGTTCAGGAAAGTGAGGAAAAAAGAGATACCCTTGAAGACTGAGGGACTCACCACGTGTGTGTGCACGCACAGTGGAGAACAGACACAGGAAAGAGCAAATGTGTAGAAGCATGTGGGAGCACAGAGCACTTGAGGAAATGCCCACAGGTCTGGTGGGTGGGGGGAAGCCAGTGAAATAAGGTAGTGATGATGGACACTGGAGAGATGCTGAGAGGCCATCAATGCTGGGCCAAGGCTTTTGGACACAAACTGATTAGTGGTGAGTAGGCAGAGAGAGCTTTAAAAAATGACAAGGCTAGGCTCCTTATTGGCAGATGTAGGGCATGGACTGGGATGGGCAGGGGCAGAGGTTAGAACCCAGGGCACCAGTTTGAAGGCTTGTGCCATAGTCTATAGGCAAAAGGTGACAAGGCTGGTGCAGTTGTGTGGAGAGGAGGCACCTGTGGTAGAGAAAGGAATGAGGGAGCACTGCAGGGTAAGAAACATTGAGAGATTTTTGCATGTAAAATGGAGAGAAGCTCCACCCACCCATCATACTGTCTACTCTGTCAGCATTTGGCCGGTCTGACCTGCTCCTATGCCTCTGGGCTGTCCCCCTGTATAGAACTGTTGACCTCCTTCTTCACCTGGCTAACAGCTCCTCATCCTTCTAACCTAGGTTCACGGCATTAGAAAACCTTGCTTATCCAGCTGGGCTAGGCTGCCTCAGGCCTCATGTCCACTGTGCTTCTAGCCTTCCAGGCTCTGGTCTCTTTACCTAGCCAGTCTGTCCCATCAGCCTAGGAGTCCCTGAAGAATATCAATTTGACCTCCCTCCATGGTCTCAGATCCTCTTGCAGGTTTAGTGAGGCTAGTTTGAAGAAATGGACAGAAGAAAAACAGATGTGCTAATTGAGCAGAACTAGCCTGCTTGGGGGAGGGTGGCGCCTGGCTGGCTCAGTCAGTAGAGTATGCAACTCTTGATCTATGGGTTGTGAGTTCAAGCCCCACACTGGATGTAGAAGTTACTTAAATATAAAATCTTGTTTAAGTTTATTTATTTATTTTGAGAGAGGGAGAGAGTGAGCAAGGGAGAGGCAGAGAGAGAGAGGGAAAGAGAGAATCCCAAGCAGGCTCCACACTGTCAGCTCAGAGCCTGATTCAGGGCTCAATCCCACTAACTGTAAGAGCAAGACCTGTGCCGAAATCAAGAGTCAGACGCACCACCTACTGAACCACTCAGGTGCCCCAAAAATAAAGTCTTGAAAAATGAAAGAAAAAAAAAAAGGAGAAGGGAGAGAGGGAGGGAGGAAGGGAGGGAGGAAGGGAGGGAGGGAGGGAGGGAGGGAGGGAGGGAGGGAGGGAGGGAGGGAGGGAGGGAGGGAGGGAGNGAGGAAGGAAGGAAGGAAGGAAGGAAGGAAGGAAGGAAGGAAGGAAGGAAGGAAGGAAGGAAGGAAGGAAGGAAGGAAGGAAGGAAGGAAGGAAGGAAGGAAACTAGCTTGTTCCCAGGACAGGACCCACTGCAAAAAGATGTTTTAGCACCTTGGAGAGCTCCCTGCAAGGCTGCTAGGACTCCCAGTGATGCCTTCCTGAGAATAGGACTCTGGATTCCATGCCTGGCACTGGGTCTGACACTGCAAGTTCTCATATACAGGTAGGCACTTTCCTCCTTCTTCAGACATGTCTAGGGCTGGGAAGAGAAAGTGATGGTCCCCACTTGTAGGGAAGCCCCTCTTTCTGAACAACTAGAGGGTGAGGAGATTCTTCAACATGCATGATTGGCCTCTTGAAATTCCAATACTTGGTCTACATGGCCTCTGCAGCCAACTATGAGGCAGGTGCTACCTCGCCATGGGTCAGATCGGGAGATTGAGACCCAAGCTCTTCACCCCTCAAGGGAGTTGGTCCCACCCACAGGTCCCCACTTAGGGAAACAAAATATCCTGCTGAGTTTGTACTTTTCCAAGATGAAGACCTCCATACCCCATATTTGTGCAGCCTTCACAGAACCTTAGCTTCCAGCCCTCTCTATCCTGGCTGCTTCTCTGGTGCCTACCTTTTCACTGTGAAGATCTGAGAGACATCTATACTTAGTTCTTTGGAAGTCTAAAATAAGCTTCTCTCTCTCTCTCTCTCTTAATTTTTAAAAATGTTTTACTTATTTTTGAGACAGAGAGACAGCATGAGTGGAGGAGGGTTAGATAAAGAGGGAGACACAGAATCTGAAGACAGGCTCCAGGCTCTGATGTCAGCACAGAGCCTGACGCGGGGCTCAAACCCACAAACCGTGAGATCATGACCTGAGCTGAAGTCGGGCGCTCAACCGACTGAGCCACCCAGGCGCCCCTCTCTCTTTTTTAAAGTTTATTTATTTTTGGGAGAGGTAGCAGGGAAGGGGCAGAGAGAGAGGAAGCCATAGGATCCAAAGTGGGCTCCATGATGACAGTAGAGAGCCTGATACAGAACTTGAACTTAGGAACCACAAGATCATGGCCTGAGCCGAAGTCAGATGATTAACTGACTGAGCCACCCAGGTGCCCCTGAACTTCTCTTTTAATTTCATAGACTTCTCATGACAATTTTCATAGAAGGGGGGCACCTGGGTGGCTTCGTTTGTTAAGCAGCTGACTTCAGCTGAGGTCATGATCTAACAGTTCATGGGTTTGAGCTCTGCATTGGGCTCTGTGCTGACAGCTCGGAGTCTGGAGGCTGCTTCAGATTCTGTCTCTGTCTCTGTCTGTCTGTCTCTCTGTCTCTCTCTCTCACTCACTCAAAAAAGGATAATTTTCTTAGAAGGTAAATTGCTCTCTGGCAGTTAAATTCTAAGGCTGATTCTCAAAGGCCAAGGCTGGTACCACTCCCACTCTAAGCAGCTTGAGACAGAAAAGTGATTCCCAAACTTTCTTGATCAGACAAATCTGGCATACCCATTAAAATATAGATGCATGGGCATTCCCCCCAACCAACATTCTGATTCAGTAGGCTCAGGGCCCAGGAATTTGTATTCCTAACCCAGGGACCTGAGTGATTTATGTAATTGATTGGAGTGGCTGAGGACAGACAGAAGTGCATGCTCCTGTCAAAGGTGATAGCCTGTGCAAAGGCCCCGGGGCATGAGAGAAAGTGGTGAGATCAAGAAATCCTATCAATGTCTTCCACAGCACTTGAAATAAAATCTTCATGCCTTTTGCCAAGATTTGTAGGCCTGAAGCTTTCCATTGCCTCTTCACCTCACAGCTTGCCCCTCTCTCCTGGCTCACTAGCCCAGTCACACTGGTGTCTATACGTCTGAGAAATAAGCCTGCATGTTTACTGTTCCTCTGCTTTAAATTCTCTCTCTCTCTCTCTCTCTCTCTCTCTCTCTCTCTGGTCTTGCTATTGCTGATTCCTTCCCACTCTGCACATTTCAGCTTAAATGTCATCTCACAAAGCCCTCCTCAACCACCTCTCTACAGCAAGGGGCCACCATTCTTCTCTAGAATCATTTCCTGTTTATTTTGTTGCACCAATAATTGCGGAGAGTTATCTTGTTAACATGTGTTCCTTGAAGCCAGGAACTTTGTTTTGTTCACAACTGGGTCCCTAGTGGCTAAATCAGCACCCAGCACATGCAGCAGCAGGCCATGAATATCTGTGGAATGGATTAAGGGTTCTATGTGGAAGGAGAGGGAGAGGGGTTAAAGTGGAACACAGGAAATGTGAGTCAGAGTATGAATGTTCAGAATGGTCCTATCAACCTTCACCCACCCCTGCCCCAGGAAGATGGACTCAAGTGTCCCCATGGTGATCCTGGCCAAACGTTACCTGCTTGGTCATTCAGCTGGTTATAGCTCAGGTCCAGGGATTTCAGGCCTGTGTGGGCCAGCAGGAATTCAGCAAGGTATGGAGCTGCCTGCTCATCCATGCCATTCCCTGCCAGCTGTATCCTCTGCATGGTTGGGTTCACCATGAGGGCAGCACAGACAGCCCGGGCTCCCACGGCTCCCAGCTGGTTCTCTGACAGGTCCACATCTAGGGGTCAGTGCCACTTCTCAATCAGTGGGATCCAAAGCCAGGCACCACCCTCTTCCACCTTCCTCTAGCCCCCAAACCTCCCATTCTGAGGCAGCAGAAGGGGATTTGCAGCTCAACTGTCCTGGGGTTCATTGGTAACTCTGTGACTCCTCAGCTGTATCCCTCCAGGTCCCAGACAACTTCTCTGATGCCCACACATCCACAAGCTTCTTTGTCGAGGGGTTAAAACTGCCTACTTCGGGGCGCCTGGGTGGCTCAGTCAGTTAAGTGTCCAACTTCAGCTCAGGTCATGATCTCACAGTTCGTGGGTTCGAGCTCTGCATCGGGCTCTGTGCTGACAGCTCAGCTCAGAGCCTGGAGCCTGTTTCAGATTCTGTGTCTCCCTCTCTCTGACCCTCCCCTGCTCACGCTGTCTCTATCTCTCTCAGAAATAAATAAAAAATTTAAAAAAAAAAAAACTGATGCATTTCTGGGAACTGGTGATGAGAGCCCAGATGGCCATGCATGAAGCATGTCACATATGCAGTTTCATTTAATACTCAGTACAACTCTAAGGGCTAAGTGGTATTGTTGGGGCCATTTCACAGATTGAAAACTAAGACTTAGTGAGGTTGAGCAGCTTGCCCAGGGTCATCCTTGGTAGAGGGTGGCTCACCAGTGGGAGAGGTGGCATTTGCATCTAGCTAGCCCCCCTTCCTTCCCACCCAGCCCTCCACCCTCTCACACTGTCATCCTTTGGCTCTCTCACCCTACATTTAGGTAATGGGAGGCCACCATATGGGGGGGGTGCTGGCCGGCCGAGGATGGGGGCCGAGGAGAGGAGTAGTGTCCAGCATTGGGGACACCACAAAGGTTCTAACTCAACCCCCATCAACCCCAACCTATGTTAAGGCCCCTGCCCCAGCAACACCAACAGGCCCCAAGTGAGAAGGCCTGGCTATGGGGGTAGCCCACACCCCTCAGGAAAAGGACTCAAATCTGTCCACCAGCCTCAGGCTCAGCACCTACCACAAATGCTGCTGCTTTTGCTCAGGGCACCTGCCAGGGCCTCCGCACCAGCCCCACAGAGCCCATTGTCTCGAAGGTCCAGCTGCTTGACATAGGGATTGGAGTTCAGTGCAGAAGCCAGAGCCCGGGCACCCTGGGACAAAGAGAGACCTGAGGGGCCTGGTCCTTCCCAGGAGTGAAGGCCCCAGACACAGCTAGCTACGACCTAGCTTGTTTCCAGGACTCAGCCTACCTGGTGCCCTCCAACTGGAAAGCTCTTTTCTTCCCACATGCCCAGGCAACACCTGCTTCTCCTTTTAGGCTCCACCCAGATATCACTTCCTGGAGCCTTCCCTGACTGCCCCTGCTCAGCAGGCTAGAGGCTCCCTGCAGGCCCCTCAACCCTTACATTGAATTCTGTCATAGCCCCGATCCTACCTATCACCCAGATACAGGGGATGGGACATGCCTGGCACACAGCAAAGCTAGGGAGTGTGTGGTATGGGCTCAGGAAGGGGCCACTCCCATGGCTGCTGCCTCCCAGGTCCTTTTCCTCCAAGCCTGACCCTGGGGTCTCCCCAGGGTTACCTGGGGGCCTAGGCCACGGTGCCGCAGGTTCAGCTCTGGGGCGTTCCCTTGGCGCAGAAAGCAGGAGGCGGGCACAACTCTATTGGCTTGGCAAGACCTCAGGTAGAGAGTATCCTTGACCAGTTCTCCAGGCCCATGGATGCCTGATAGGAGACAGGGAGATGATGAATGTGGGTCCTTCCCTAGACACAGCCACCTCCTCCCCTACCCTCTGTCACCATCCAGGCCTGTGCTTCCCTGTAGAAGCATTTCTTCCTCTGCTAGAAGAGACTGAGGCTCAGAGAAAGCAAATCCTTTCCCTAAAGTCACACAGCTAGTAGTAGCTAGTCTGGGCAGAGCCAGGATTAGGACCCCGTCTGTCTGACGCCAAAGTGCATGCTGTGTGTTTTCCACTGGATTGCAGAACACATGTTTTGTGAACATTTTATGGGGGAAGAAACTGAAACAATTCTGTTTTATACATTCATTAACTTAGTTGTTCCTATGGGTTGGGAAAGCCCAGCCCTGATCCCATTTCTGGGTAGGACACCCCTTCTTACACTGTTGGTGGGGTTTTCGCATTTTAACATCACTTTGGAGGTGTTTTCTTATTTATTTTAAAGTTCATTTATTTATTTTTAAGAGAGAAAGAGAGAGTCGGGGAAAGGCGGAGAGAGAAAGAGAGACTCCCAAGAAGGCTCTACACTGTCAGCTTAGAGCCTGACTTGGGACTCAATCCCACAAACTGTGAGATCATGACCTGAGCCGAAATCGAGTCTGAAGTTTAATAACCAACAAGAACCAGTCGGGCACCCCTCTTTTTAAAAAATATTTTATTTTTAAGTAATTTCTACATCTAAGGTGGGACTCAAACTCACAACCACAAGATCAAGAGTCCTCTACTCCATCTACTGAGCCAGCCAGGTGCCCCTGGAAGCGTTTTCTTTTCCTTCCTTCCTTTCCTCCCTCCTTCCTTCCTTCCTTCCTTCCTTCCTTCCTTCCTTCCTTCCTTCCTTCCATTTATTTACTTTGAGAGAGACAGAGACAGTTTGAGCCGGGGAGGGGTAGAGAGAGAGAGGGAGAGAAAGAGAGAATCCCAAGCAAGCTCCGCACTGTTAGCCCAGAGCCTGATGCAGGCCTTGAACTCGAACTCAGGAAACGGTGAGATCAGGACCTGAGTGGAAATCAAGAGTGGGACACTTAACTGACTCACCACCCAAGCGCCCCTTGAGCCGTTTTCTAAAGATGGAACTCCTGATGCCGCCAGGAGCATTGTGGGGAGGGCACAGGGCTGGAGAGACCACAGGCTGTCCCGAAGGAGTCCCACGAAGGGGTGCGCTCTCTTCTGGACAGGGGTCCCTGCCTGTTTGGCCCCAGCCTGCCCTCTCCAACCCTGCGGGAGAAGCTCCTCAGTTGGGGAGACAGGCCTGCCCCTATCCCTGCCCGGGAGCACCTTCCGTCTCCTGGTCGGAGTCTGAATCAACTTCCGAACGCTTCTCAGCCTCCGGGGCCCCTGCAAGACGCCCAGCGGCCGCTGCCGCCCCCTCCTCCTGGTCTTCATTCTCCCCAGGCCTCTTGTAGGGACCCCTCATGGTTATGCCCATTTTTCAGTCGCAGCAATGAGGCGGAAACTGAGCAGCACAGCAACTCGAGCGCTGCCCTGGGATGTGGGCGGACCCTCCGGCAGCATCGACCAATTGGATATGTTGTGCAGCAAACAGGCGCCCGCTACAGCCAATAGAAACGCTCCTCTCCCGACAGCCGTCGTCTGGGCAACCCAGGTGTTGTTGGTTGCTATAGAAACCGTTGCTGGCCTGGGCGGACCTCTAGCCTGCTCCCAGGCTGGGCTGATGCGAACGTGCACCAGGGTTCCAGCACCTCCCCTCTCCCCTCCCCCTTCTAAGGACTGGGGAACATGGCTGACTCCAAAGCCCGTGCCTTAGTCCCTGCGCTCTGCGGGCGCACGACACAAGAGAGCTTGGAGAACCTTGTAAAGCCCCTCCTCTCTGGAGCCAGAGTCACGCTCTTACTCTGTGGCTGCCAGTTCTCTCTCATGCTCTAGCGTCGCATATGCTGTTTCCTCCACCAGGAACATTCCTCTCCCAACTTTTCTTGTTGAACTTCAGAATCTGCAAGTGTCAGCTCCGAGATCACTTTCCTGAAGCTTTTCTTGACCCTCTCCTCTGGGCTCCTGCAGTCCTCATGCTGCCCTCTCACAGTATCTATGACACTTTTCCTCTCTTCCTCCTTCCCTCCCCCAAGGAAGTGAGGCCAGGGGGCAGGTTGCAGGGGCTGTTCCTCTCTACCTTGACCTGGGCCCCTGCAGAGGGCAGCTGGCGGTTGGGACTAAACCCAGGGCTGAGGGGTGGAGGCTGGATCCTGTCCCCAGTGGAAGTGTCCCTTTAATAGCTGCTGGCCTGCTGGCTTGGGCGCCTGCTTTACCTCCTATTCAGCTGTGACTGCAGCTGCTGTGCTGACTCATGCGCCCCAGCAGACAGCAGGAGCTGGAAGCATGGGCTTTCTAGGGGCCCTGGCAGGCTGGGGGCTTCTGGATTACAAAACGGAGAAGTATGTGATAACCAGGAACTGGCGGGTGGGCGCCCTGCAGAGGTTGCTGCAGCTCGGGGTCATGGCCTACGTGGTGGGGTAAGAGAATGGCTCCTGGACCACAATGGCTGGAGGGATAATGACTGGTTGTCCTGGGCTGACAGTTGAGGGTTTGACTCTTCAGGGGCTGAGCTGGTGGTAGCAGAGGGGAGCATGTAGGGATAGGGGAGGGAGTGGGCAGAAGGGAGGATCTTTGTCTGTCTAGAGGCCAGTGGATACGAGACCAAGCCGGTTCCTCTGTCCTCTTTTCCTGTTCCTTGTTTCCAGGCCCATATTGGGCTCTGCACACAGAGCAAGATGGCCCCCACCTGTACCCAGGAGGCCCCTGGTGGGGTAGGAGGTAGCTTCTGATGCCTGGAAGAGCTGTAGCACTAAGGTCCCCAATAGAAACCACCAATTTTAGCTGGGTCAGGGGAGTCTTTAAGGAGGAGATGGGCCCAGCCAGGGCAGGAGGAGGGTGTTGTGCTGGCTGGTGAAGGAAGAGATGATGGGTATCTCCAAGCCCCCGAGTGCCATGAAAGGCACTGGCTCTCTGACCATGGTTGGAACTTCTGATCTGTGCAGGGTGTTTGGGATGGAAAATGAGGCTGGAGGGGAGGTAGGGGCCCCGAGTCCTGGGCTGAGAGCCTGCAGGGTATATGAGGAGAGAGGCTTGAGAGGGCAGGTCCCGCTCTGCCACTGCTCATCATGGGTCAGGGACGTGCCACACTGCCCATCAATTCTTCCTAAGGTGGGCTCTCCTCGCCAAAAAAGGCTACCAGGAGCGAGACCTGGACCCCCAGATTTCTGTCATCACCAAACTCAAAGGGGTTTCTGTGACCCAGATCAAGGAGATGGGTAATCGGCTGTGGGATGTAGCAGACTTCGTGAAGCCACCACAGGTAGGTGCCTTGGTTCGACTGCGAGGCAATGACACCTCTGATACCACTCTTGCAGAGAATGTGTGTGTGAGAGGCATGTGATGCCAGAGCAGGGAGCTGGTACCGTCATAAGGCTGGGCTTGGGAAGAGCCTTACAGAGGAGTGGTGCCTGGATAGGGCTCTCTGGGATGTGTAAGAAGCTTCTAGGTGGACAAGGGGACAGAGCAGGAAGCCAGGCCAGAAGAACAGCCTTTATAGAGGCTGTACTTAGAAGAGTGGAAAGTTTAGGAACTCAAGGCTTGAGCTTGAGGGTGGGGTGGGAGAAGCATGGGGAAACCAGGGCCTTGAGCTTCCTGAGTGCTCCCCTCCCTGACCTGAGCACTCCTCCTCTGGCCCTCCCACGAGGCATTTCTGGCTCCTTCCTCCACCCAGATTGCCTACAGCCTCAGTTGCTACCTGTATCCTGCCAATGCCAAAACTGTAGCCTCAGTGACCACGTACCTCTAGCACAGCTGCCTCCTGGGTGCATACCCACCACATCCAAAGAGAAATCATCTCCCTCTCCCAATGTGGCCTCTTTTCATCCAATGAGGGCCAAAGCTGGACCTGTCCCTCCCTTCTGACCATTCCATCTCCTAGCAATTTTCACTGCTGCCTATACCATACCTGTTTGAGGCCGTGACCTTCTAGTGGGCCCCCAGATGCACTCTACTCAGCACCAGCCGGAGCTTTCCTATGTGACATCAATCAGAGCCTGCCAGCCCTTGTTTTCACCCTGGGGGGACTCCCTTTCCATAGTAGTGGCCACCGAGTCCCTCCAAATCCTGACAGCTGTCACACCTGCTGCCTTCTCTCTTTCCTTGGTGTGCATTGCCCCAAACTTGCAAAACTCACACACACCGTACTTGGATGCCAGCCACCCTGCCTGTGCTTAGCCACCTTTTGCCCAGGCAGAGCTCACCACCTGCTCCCCTGGCCCCTTTCTATGTGCAGTGAGGGGTCCACTTCCCCACTAGCTTGTGCAGGCCCCCGGTCCAACTCAGCTCTGGATCTTCAGTGCCTAGAAGCAGGAGGCAATTGGAAAATTGTGGTTGAAGGAATGAGTACAAACATGAAAAATACACTTGTCTCAAAGAGGCAGCTGTGGGCTTGGAAAAGGCCAGAAACCCAGCAGGCCTCTCTTCTCTATTTCAACTGGCCTCCCTGGAGGTGCTTTCCTGGAGCAGAGTTGATGACTTGATGGAGCCAGGACCCCTTTCCCCACAAGTTAAGCTGCCAGCTCTGGCCTCTCCCTTTTGGAGAAAGAAGCAGAGACCAACTCTGACCTTTGCTTTCTAGGGAGAGAATGTGTTCTTCTTGGTGACCAATTTTCTTGTGACTCCAGAACAAGTTCAGGACAGGTGTCCAGAGGTAAGAGTGCTCAGGAGCTTCCCAGTGGGTCCCTAGTTCCTCTGCCAGACCTGGGTCATCAGTCATGTCCTTCCCTCACCTTCCCAGGTTAACTGAGGGCATAGTATGTGCTACTGTATACCAGGCACTGAGCTAAAGCCTTTTCGTGAATCATTCCATTTAGTCTTCACAAATACCCTGCCTGGTAAGAATCACTATGATCCAGGAACACTTGGGTGGCTCAGTCCATTAAGTATCTGACTTTGGCTCAGGTCATGACTGATTCACGGTTCGTGAGTTCAAGCCCTGAGTCAGGCTCTGTGCTGACAGCTCAGAGCTGGGAGCCTGCTTTGGATTCTGTGTTTCCCTTCTCTCTCTGCCCCTCCTCCATGCACACACACTCTGTGTGTGTGTGTGTGTGTCTGTGTGTGTGTGTGTGTCTGTGTGTCAAAAATAAATAAACATTTACAAAAATTAAAAAAAAGAAATTACTATGATCCCATTTATGATGAGAAGACAGGATCTCAACAAGTTAGAGTCACACGCTCAAGGCTACTCAGTCTCTGGGCCTCCAAGTAGTCTTCTGGAGCCTTCCGCTGTAGCTCACTGTGAGATATCCAGGCCTCTTGCCTTCCTGGTCCCACCTCTGGGCACCCTCCAGTTGGTCAGTGTAACACCCGGAACTGGGTACAGGATCAGGTGAGCTCTAATAGAGCTCTTCCTCTCTTCTAGGCACAGGCTCTATTATTGTGTCCTAAGGCAGCTTCCATTTTTGTGGGCAAACAATGAAAACACCTGCTTATGCTGACCTCAGGGCCACGTACGATCTCTGGTGGGCATTTTTTACAACTATGGTCACACCAGAGTGTCTCACCCTATTTTTGTCTATTTCTCATCCAGAATTGCAGGTTTTCCACCTAAAATCTCACCTTTGTCCCATGCCTAAGGATGACCCATGGATCTAGTGTCTGTCACAGAGCACAGTGCTCTACTCTCCAGTTATGGCTTCTTCCCCCCAAACTTTTGTGTGTGTGTGATTAAATACATGTAATGTAAAATTTACCATCTTACCCATTTTTAAGTGTGTGATTCTCCAACTGTGGATTTTGTTTGAGCAGTTGGGACCCAGGACATAGCCCTGGAAGCCTATCTCCATGGTAACATCTTTTTAAAATCACATCTAGCACGGGACGCCTGGGTGGCTCAGTCAGTTAAGCGTCCGACGACTCTTGGTTTCAGCCCATGTCATGATCTCACAGTTTGTAAGTCTGAGCCTCGCATTGGGCTCCGTGCTGACAGTGAGGATCCTGCATGGGACTCTCTCTCTCCCTGTCTCTTTCTGTCCCTCCCCTGCTTGCTTGCTCTCTCTCAAAATAAATAAACTTAAAAAAATTTTTTTTTAACATTTAATTGCTTGCGGGGCTGGAGAATAATTGTGTAGTCACCTGTCCCCTGTGTCCTGGTTGTTGTGCCCCCCCACATTTCCTGGGGATGTCATGTGTCCTAGGTTGGCTCTGTCCACAAAGGACGTGAAGTGTGTGCACAAACGATGTGTTTACACACAGCAAACATACCTGGTGTCCTTCTAGATGCCCAGAAGACATCTAATTAATGTTCAGGTTGGAGGCTGTCCTGGAATTTTGCTGAAACCATCATTCTGTGTTTTCTGGAATCCGTGTGATTCCTCTTTGCCTCATGTCCCAGTTTCTAGCTTTTCCCATGAAACTACTGAGGCTGGGAAGTAATTAATCAGATCTGACAACATGGCTTCCGGAGCCTCACCAAAGATCCTGCCAGCTCCTCTCCGGGGGCCTGGTCATCTGGTCCTTCCCAAAACATGCACTGTGTTCCTTGGAGACTCACAGCCTTTAGCAAACAACTGCCGAGCCCCTGGGGCGGTGGGGTAAGGGCAGGCCCCATGCTGGACTTGCAAGACTCCACTCCCTTGTATCTCAGGAGCTCCTGCACAGGCAGCCCAACCAAGGTGGCAGGTCCTGTGGTGGGGGCAGGGGCTGCAGCCAGAGCCCCAGGGAGGCATGTCTGCCGGCCCAGGGCCTCAAGAAGGGTTTCCCACAGGACTCAAGGCCCAAGTGGGATCTTGAGAACGTCCAGGCAGAGGCAGCTATGTGAGCAAAGACCCCAAGCTATGTGAGATGAGGCATCTCCAGGGTCACCTGCTGCTGACGCTGGTTGGAGACTAGATTTGGATTGGGGTGGCCAGGGGATTGCCCAAGACCTCAGGGGCCATTTGGACTCTGTGAAGGAGCTGAGCTTGATCACAGGAGCATGGCAGAACTAGGGATGGTCTCTGCTGAATGAATGAGGCAGATGATGCAGAGAGGGGGCCCTGTGGTGGTTATCGTGGGGTTTGATTGGAGGAGATGGTGGCCCAACCAGGGTGGAGAGGAGGGGCAGACTCAGGACACAGGAGACCCCACTCTAGCCTCTGCCCACGTATCATGGTCCCAACCCCCCACAGTCCCACTGTCTCATTTGGTTTGAAGTCCCCAAACCCCTCTTGCCACCCTGGCACAGTGCTCCTCCCACTTCTCCTGAGCCAGGTAACCTGGAGTGTGGTGTTCATTGTCAGCCTGGTGCAGGACTGTGTCTGAGAGTGTGCCTTCTTCTTCAGGGAGTGTAGGACCCCCAGAAACTTTGCCAGGCCCCCTTCTGGCTGATACCCAGAACACTGTGACTATGTGTAGGCACTGATGTCCCTGTTTTACTGAAAAATAAGTAGGGGAGGGACTAGCCTATGGTCCCTCAGCAAGTGTGTGGTCCTACCACTTCCCCACCCAGGCCCCTCCAACTAGGTCCCTGCCCTTTGTTCACCACGCCCCACCCCTCCACCCTGGCATGAATTTGCCCTTCCCAGAGTTCCTTCACCTTCTCTGTTCTGTCGTTGGAGGTGGACCAGAGGATCGGGGCCTCCGGCCAGGAGAGAACTATCAGGAAGGAAGGAGGCTTGCTCTGCCTTGGCATACAGCACCTGCACCTCCTATCTGGCTGGGGGGCTGCTTGCCACCCTCCTCCTCCAACCATCTCTTTTCATTTTTACCCTCCGGCTTTGCCCTGTGCCCCCAAACTCAGGGATTTCTATGTGGCTAAGGCAGGGAGGGCTATGTCCCTGCAGACTGCAAGGCTGGTTCACAGAGGGGAGACCGTCCCTGAGCTCTTGGCAACTCTGCTTTCCCCACCTCAGCACCCCTCCATCCCGCTGGCTACCTGCTGGGCTGATGAGGACTGTCCGGAAGGGGAGACTGGGACGCACAGCCATGGTAACTCTGGGCCCTGTCTTCCAGTGGCTCCCCTGGGTGGGAGCTCCAGGGGCGGGGCTGGGACCCTGGGTGGTTCTTGAGGGCAGGCCTGGTGGTGTCTCTGCATCTCTCCTTTGTGTCAGTGGCCCCTTGCCTCACCCCATCCCTTGGCCCTGTGGCGATTTGAGGGCCCGGAGTTTGTCTTGTATTTTCAAGGTATAAAAACGGGCCAATGTGTGGAATTCAATGGGACCCACAGGACCTGTGAGATCCAGGGCTGGTGCCCTGTGGAGAGCGGCACTGTGCCCGCGTAAGTCTCTCCACCCACCCACCCCCACCCACCTCCAGGCAAGGCCCCAGAACCAAGAAGCCTGCCCTTCACTTCTCCTTTACCAGCAGGAAGCCCCTACTGGTCCAGGCAGAGAACTTCACCTTGTTCATCAAGAACACTGTCACTTTCAGCAAATTCAACTTCTCCAAGTAAGTGTGGGTATGTCCTGCTGGCCCCAGACCCTCCTTGTCTGGTCTTACCTGACCTTCTGTCCCATCCTCCACCCCCACCCGCAGGTCCAATGCCTTGGACACCTGGGACGCCACTTATTTCAAGCGCTGTCGCTACGACTCACGCTACAGCCCCTACTGCCCTGTGTTCCGCATCGGGGATCTCGTGGCTGCAGCTGGAGGGGTGTTTGAGGACCTGGCATTGCTGGTGAGTCCGTGGGGGGCAGAGTTCCAGGAAAGTTCAGGGAGAGGGTCCCGGGGCCTGCGTGCCTGCCGGTGAAGCAGCGATGTGCTGTGTGCAGGGAGGTGCTGTGGGCGTCCAAGTCCGCTGGGATTGTGACCTGGATGCTGGGGGCTCCGACTGCCGGCCTCACTATTCCTTCCAGCTGCAGGAGACGAGCTACAACTTCAGGTGCGGCCCCTCCTGCCCTCCTGCTGCTGTTCAGCCAGGCCCCCCTCCCACCCCCCACTACTTGTCCTGGGGCCACACCTTTGCCCAGCTCTCTGGACATTCCATTGTGTGTTCGAGGAGGTCCCCAGGGTCAGGACGGGTGTTCTCAGCTCCGGGTCCTCCAGCACAGGCTCTGTCCAGCCTCCCTCCTAATCCTATCCCCCTTCTGTCCCTTGGGACTTCTCACCCCCCCCAGCCCCTCCCCCACCCCACCCTGCCTCTAGCACCGCACTCTTTGGCTTGGGTGGGAGGGTTCTTTTTTACTTTTCCCTTAGGTCTTATCTCAGAATTTTCAAAAACCTATAGAAAAATGCAAAGACTAGTTCTGTGAACAGCCATAGCCATATACCCTTTATCGGGGTTCACTAGGGCTTTTTTGGTTCTGGTTTTATTTTGTACCATTTTGCCACATTTGCTTTCTCTCTCCCTCTCTAGAATGAGCTGGATATATTTAGCTAGATTTCAGAGGGAAGCATTTTAAAGTAAGTGGCAGACACCTGACATTCTTCCTCTCAACACTGTCCTGAGAAGGAGGACCTTACCCACGTGACCACTGTACCACAGTCGCACTCAGTAAATTTAACATTGGCCAGAATAAATCTAATATTTGCATTTTCCCAACAGTGCCAATAATAGTCCTGTATCTTTTTCTTTTCCAATCCAAGATGCACTCAGGGATTTTGTATTGCATTTATTGTCATGTCTTTGAGTCTCCTAAACAGATCTCCCTCAACCTGCCAGAATCCTTGTCACTTCCTGTCACCTGGTCATGGTCACACATATGTACACACAACCCTCAGGCCTAGAGATGATGCCCCTTGCCCCTTTGACATTGCTCACTGGGCTTTTCTTGGCCTGGCTTCCTTGACCTCCCTGGCCCTTTGCAACTATGAGGGGCTGGCTCCTTGCCCACATTCTTCTTCCTGCCACCTCTGTGCTCTTACCTGTCCTGCTTTCTGTCTAGAATACTCCTTCCCGACCCCTGGAAGACCAGCCTCAAAGTACCCCTTGCGGAAAGCCTTTCTCACTTCCTAGGGGTAGTGAGTTTCCTTTGGACTCACACAGCCCAGGGCTTGCCTCCTTACCTGTCCCCACCCTCAGTACTAGTGTCTATGTAGGGATCTTTCTGTCCCCTCAGCAGGCAAGGAGTTTCTAAGTAGGTCCCAGGTTGCCTTTCCCCTGGGTCCTCAGCAACGCCACAAGGGGGAGACATCTGGGGCTGGGGGTTTATACAATCAATGGATGAGCAAGAAGGAAGCCTGGGAGGACCTGCCCAGCCCAGGAGTGGCAGCAGAGCAAGCCACCAGACCTTTCCTACCTTCAGGACAGCCACTCACTGGTGGAAGCCCTCAGGTGTGGAGGCCCGGAGTCTGCTCAAGCTCTATGGGATCCGCTTTGACATCCTTGTCACGGGGCAGGTAGGAGGTGTTGGGTGAGAGTAATGGGTGGTGGGAGTAGGAGGGGGAGATGGTCATAGCCCCGGAGGCTCAGCCTAGGTCGGTCTCAGGCAGGGAAGTTCGGGCTCATCCCCACGATCATCACTCTGGGCACCGGAGCAGCTTGGCTGGGTGTGGTGAGTCTGACTACTGTGGGCTCCCTCTGGTTGCAACTGTGTGCCCAGGCCTGCCCGAGTGCATACCTGAGACCCCCCGCACCCACTCCTCTCCCATACATGATGTTGTCTCGCGGTGAGGGCCGGGGAGGTGGCGGAAGGGCAGGTTGAGGGCCAGGACACAGGTCTGCCCTGCCCTTCCCAGATCACCTTCTTCTGTGATCTGCTGCTGTTGTATGTGGACGAAGAAGCCCATTTCTACTGGAGGACCAAGTATGAGGAGGTGAGCCATAGGCGTGTCCGAACCCTTGGGTTCTGTTACACTTTGGAGGATGTTGTTCAGAGCCCTGATATGATGTCCTCATCTGCAGGCAAAGGCCCCGAAGGTGACCACCAACCCTGAGCGGACAGAGCCAGCTTCTGCACCCCCGTGCATGGCTGCCCAGGGGTCTTAGAGGGGACCCAGTCTGGGAGCCAGACATCAACACCAGAGTGACCATGCTGAGGCTCCGGCCCCCCACTCACTGGCCTGTTTCTGAGACCTGTAGCTGTTCCCCGCTGGTTGCAGGGTGGGGGCCCTACTGTGGGCACCTCCTGGATAAAGCCCCAGCAGGATTAGGGTGTGAGGGGGGTGGGGAATTCCACCCTTCCACTCCCAGACAGACTGTCCCTCCCCTGACTCCAGCTCCAGCAGGATGCTGCCTGGGGGAGCCAGAGAAGCCAGTTTTGCCTAGAAACCTGTAGCAGAACAGGAGCCACAGAGAAGGGGAGACCCTGGGACACCCACATGGTAGGGTAATGGTCTGGTGAGGCTCCTGCTATATCTAGGTCTAAAGAACTTTCCCCCAGCTTCCATCACCAGTGTTCTCAGTACTGATTCTCTCACTGGCTAGGGCAGACTCCAGCCCTTCTCCCCCTACCAGCACCCCCATCTTAGGTAGAACCCCTCCCTCTCAGCTGTGCCACACTGGGGTCTATGCAACTGGAGTCTGAAGCAAGGTAGAAAGAGCCCTGACAAGAGGGATTATCTCAGCTTCTCTGGTGTTGGGTTGCCCGAGGCAGGTTCCTACCCAACTCTGGGCCTCATCCATGAAATGAAGGGTGGGTAGGCAGACAGATAATCCAACCCCCTGGGACCCCAGGCAAGGGCACAGGCACCCTTTGGTCTAACACCTGCCCAGCTTATGAGCATCAACTCCTTCTTGGTGGTAGCCCTTGAGCTGTGGAGGACTGGGATGGAGAAGAGAAGGTGGAGGGGCTGGGTTAGTGGTCACTGGGTCCTTTGGGATCTTCTATATGCTTCCTCATTAACCCCCAGCCCTGGAACCTGCTCACCGGAGCCATGAGATTAGTGAGCTGTCCATCTGCTACCCGAGGTCACATCTAAGAACCTATCAAGGCATCTGCACGTCCCTGGAAGGAATGTCCCTAACAAAGGACACAAAGGACCCCAGCAGACTGGCCTGGTATCTTTCCAAGGTCTGAGTCCTGCCTGCTGGAGAATTACGCACCCCCACCCCCAGCCCCACAGTCAGGAAGGGAAGAAAGGGGCTGCAGGAGTCAAAGTCTCCCCTGGTCCCAGGGCAGAGGCAAGGATTTGGGAGTACCTACTCCAGGGAGGCAAGGGGCTTCTTTCTCATGGGTCCCTGGTGACCAGGACTGTGCTGGCAGCTTGGCAGTGGAGTCACAAAGGCCATTTGGGGAGGACCAGGGCTGAGGCTCAGGCTGAAGTAGTATCTGGGAGGCATCTGGAGCCCCAGCAAACCCTCGGGGTCTCTGGTACTTCTCAGTCCCCAGAGCGATGTCCATGGGGAGGCAGGTTCAGAAGAGCCAGGGTGAGAGAACATGGCTCTGAGGCCTGGTTATTGGAATGGGATCACATGTATCTGGTTGTCCTCAGGGCCCAGAGAAAGCTGTCATAGCTACTGAGAGCTAAGGAGTAAAGCCTGCCAAAACCAGCAGCTTCCTGTGTAGTCCTTAACAGCCAGGAGTGGGGAGTTGGAAGCATCTATGATGGATATAGCATGGCTTTAGGGAGGCCAGTGGAGGGGGACAGGAAGGGCCTGGAGACCCCCTCAAGGACTGGAGCCGCACAGCCACCAGGTGGACTCAAAGGTACTTGGGGCAGGCAAGTGCATATACGGTATATGCATCTGTATACGGGGTGCGTATATCATACATGTATGTAGCATCCTGAGCCTTTATCTCAAAGCCCTTGAGGAAGGGGTAGGGGGAGAGGATGAGTGCCAGCCGAGACAGCCAGAGAGCTATGGCCAGACCTGAGTTGGAAACATCTGTTGCCTCAGTCTGCATGTGGATGTGAAGCACCAGGGTTAGCCATGTGGGCCATGGGGGCACATGCAGTGTGCCTCTACATCCCTGGGCAGGCCTCAGGGATACAGTGCACTTTCTGGAAGCCCTGGGAACCCAAGAGGGCCCTGAAACCCCACTGTCCTTTCTAGGTGGTCTTTTTGGGACTGAGGCTCTGCTCTCTGGATCTTTTCCCCCACCAGGGAACATGTGGGGAGCCTGTATGGGGGAGCCTGACTCTGCCCTTTTCATGGATCTCTCCTCTCATTGTGTGTGTAGAGGTATATGCACCTCCCTCACTGAGCTGGGCAGAGGGCGCCAGCCTGAGGGCAGGACCCCAGGACCCAGGCTCAGCAATGTTCCTGACCACAGCTGGTGCCTCCCTCTTGCCAAACCTTGGCATCTTTGCCATGGATTGGGGACAGTCATCTGGTTCCCAGAGGGCAGGAGAGGACTCAAGGACACAAAGAATGCAGCAGGACATAGCAGCAGGCCTTGTGGCTGGCCAAGAGGTTATTATTATGGATATCTGGGGTTGTGGGCTTCTTCCCCGCCCACCCTAGCCCACCCTGCCTGCCCAAGAAACTGAAATTGTTCATGAACAGGAAGGTGCTAGGCAAAATGTTCACCACACCAGCACTGACCATGGCCCACTCCTCAAAACCCAAAGCTAGGCACTTGAGCTAAGGCTTTAAGGTCTGGGGTACCCCTCAGCATGGGCAGGCCTGCAAACCTGAGCTGACTCAGATAGAAGGGACTCCCAGCTTCTCTGGGCTCCTGAGGAGGTGGGCTGAGGGCAGAGCAAGCATGGACAGGCCTCCAGCTTGATTCACGGACTGGTGGGCTGCTCCGCGGGGCTGGGATCCTGGGAGGGCAGCTGGCTGGGGGGCTGCACAGTCTGTACCGTCTCCTCCAGGTTGGTGCTGGGGAACACCACGTAGCGTGTGGTCAGCTCCGGCAGCTCCCGCTGGTTCTCTTTGCTGTGCCAGATGCCATAGCCAAAATACACGGCGAGCCCTGCAGCAGTTGTGGGGGGCTGAAGGGCAGGTCCCGGCCCGGCTTGCCCTCCTTGCCTTCTTCCTGTGGCCCACCCGGGGCCCCAAGCCTGGCCCCCACTCACCGATCACCAGCCAGATGGAGAAGCGCAGCCAAGTCAGGTAGCTTAGCTTCAGCATGAGGCAGATGTTGAGAAGGATGCTCAGGGCTGGAGTCAGGGGCACCATGGGGATCTGAGGGGGCAAGAGCAGGGCTGGGCTGGGCTGCAGAGAAGGTCTGCTGGCTCAGGGCCTGAGTCTTCAAGAGTCCCAAGAGCCGTTCTCCACCTCTGGAGATTCTGGAAACAAGTGCCCACGTGCCATGCGGAAAGACAGGGGATGGGCGTAGTGGCCTCCCCAACCCTGTGAGCCCCGGTTCCTCCTGCCGCAGTGGAGGAGGAAGGGACAAAGAGAGCTAGCTGGGCCGCCAGCCGGGGGGCATTGGCCAGGGGAGGTACCTGGAAGGTGTCTTGCTGCTGCCGTTGCTGGTGAGCCCCCAGGATGAGGAGGCTGAGCAGAAACGTGACGGAGCTGAGCAGGAGCAGCAGGATGTAGCCCCAGTATGGGAGGTGCAGGGCTGAGTCCCCGAAGACCAGTACACAGGCCAGGGTGATGGCCGAGGCCACCAGCATGCTGAGGGCCCAAGCCACAGCAGCTCCAGGGCTGTACCTACCTAGAAAGCCCAGGTAGGGCCTTAGGGCTGGCCGCAGCTGCCCGGGCTCAGGGGCCGAGGCCTGCTCGGTGCCCACCAGTTGTATGTGGTCCGAGAAAGAGTGGTACTCTTTGACCCTGGGGTCAGGGCTGGCTGGGCCTGAGGCACTGCACGGAGGGGCCCTCTGGAAGCGTAGCACAATAATGCTGGTGGCCACGAAGGTGTAGGCCAGCAGTGTGCCAATGGACAGGAACTGGACCAGGGCCTCCAGATCCAGCAGCAGCGCCAAGCAAGTCATGAGGCCCCCGAACACAAGGATGCCCACCATGGGCACCTGCGTCCGGGGGTGCACTTGGGCAAACACCTGGAAGAAGAGCCCGTCGATGGCCATGGCATAGACGATGCGTGGCAGGGAGAAGAGGCTGCTGAGCAGGACAGTGTTCATGGCTGTGACAGAGGGTGGGGCACTGGTGAGCAGGGTGGACGGGCCTACCAGGGGCCTCCGCTGTGAGTCAGGGCATGCACAACCCCTCGGGAGCATGGGCGTGAGTTTGTCTGGGATCTCAGAGTGAGCCTGATGGCTTGCTCCCCGCCCCCCACCAGGAACGGGACACCCTAGTTTAGGTGACAGGCCCAGCAGAGAACCTCGTGAGGGCTGATCCTTCTCCCAGGAAAGGACCTGGAAGCACATGCTCAGAACCAACATTTTATGTACAGTTGGGAGGGGGCAGTGAGTAGCTCTCAACAAGCCTAGGTAGAGAGTCTAATAATTAGCACCTTCCTGGGTCCCACATGCAACCGGTAACAGACCTGGATGGAGGTGTGTTACCTGGGAAGCTTAGGGCAAGGCCCCACTACTCTGCTCATTTCCACCTTGCCTGAAGGGCCTCTTACCGCAGATGGAGCCTGCCGCCACAATGAAGCCAGCCCAGCTATATCCCCGCCGGTAGAAGGCATCAGCGAGTGCGGAGTCAGGGTCCAGGCTGTGCCAAGGCACCATGAGGGTGAGCACGGTGGAGACGAGAATGTAGGCGCCAGCTGCCAGGCCAAGTGAGATGGTAATGGCTATAGGCACAGCTCGCTTCGGGTTCCTGGCCTCCTCGCTGGAGGCAGCAATGACATCAAAGCCCACAAAGGCGTAGAAGCAGGTGGCGGTGCCGGCCATGATGCCGGAGAACCCAAAAGGTGCAAAGCCACCCTCCTCAGCACTCCAGTTGTGTGGGCGGGCCAGGATAAATCCCAGGATGATGACAAAGAGGATGACGACAAGGCTGACAACAGAGAACGTGTGGTTGAGCCAGGAGGAAACTCGGGCTCCGCAGGAGATGAAGACAGAGGCCAAAATTATAATGCCAGCAGCCAGGAAGTCTGGGTAGTGGGCTAGCAAGGGCACCTGCCAGGTTCCAACATAGGCCTCGGTGAGGTTGTGGATGCGGTGGTTGAACATGGCATCCAGGTAGCCACTCCAGGCACGGGCCACGGCTGCACCGCCAATGAGGTACTCGAGGAGCACATTCCAGCCGATGAGGAAGGCCCACAGCTCACCCATGGACACATAGGTGAACAGGTAAGCAGAGCCCGTACGCGGCAGCCGTGCCCCAAACTCTGCATAGCACAGGGCTGACAGCAAGGAGGCCACAGCAGCCACGGCAAAGGACAAGAGCACCGCAGGGCCGGCCATCTGCTTTGCCACTGTGCCTGTGAGCACATAGAGGCCTGAGCCCACCATACCACCCACGCCCAGCAGGGTCAGGTCCAGCGTGGACAGGCAGCGCCGCAGTGATGTCTCCATGGTGGACTCCTCCAGGGGCTTCAGTCGGTTTAGCTTCTGGCAGAAGCGCGCCAGGCTGGCAGTGCTGGGCAGCCCCCTGACCATGATGGGCAGCTAAGAGGAGCACCGAGCCAGCTGCCGGCACCTACCAGGGCAAGAGGGGAATGACGGGCTGCCCAGTTCGTTCGGGCCAGGCTTCAGTCTGCTCTGTCTATCCATCACCACCCTACCCCCGGGACCTGAATGTCTGCATAGCTAGCTTGCCTGAGGGCTGGGACGAATTATAAGTGGGCAGGAGGTCACAGGGAAGCCTTTGGGCAGGTGAAGGAACCTCTTGCAGCTTAAGTGGGGGAGACTGAGGGTGGAAAGGGTGCAGCTCCAGGAAGTGTGATTGGGAAACTCTCCTTGGTCTGGCATCCAAGAGCAAAGGTGGAAACCCCAGATTATCCAGGAGCTGGGCAGGTCTCCAGGCCTCCAGGCCCCGGAACGGGAGCGGGTTTGCTGCACTGGGCGTGGACCAGGCGGCCATCTGGCCTCAGACATTGGCACTCACCGCTACCCCCACCCCCACTCCCTCCCTGGCCTCGTGGGACTTGGGTAGGGCCCAGAGGTGGGGAGCTCTAGGCCCTGCACCCAGAAGCCAAAGCTTCTTGCTCTGCCCCTGCCCCGCCCTGACTGGCTACTGCCTCCGCTGCTGCGCCTAGAGCCAGTTCCACCCAGATATCCAAGTCTTTGCCTCCTTTCAGGCCCGAGTACGTCCCTATGGGACTCGCTGAGACTCACCTGCTGTCACTGCTGCCGCCGCTCTGCGTGCTGTGCTTGCTTAGCCAGCTGGCGTCGCCCGAGCGCAGAGCCCGCCTCCACACCCCCTGCGCCGGATCCAGCACGGCGCCCCACCCACCTGGCTCTCACACAAGTATCCAGATTGCCCACCATACCCAAACCTCACACAATCCAGACCAGAACTCACCAAATTTAGGATAGCCCTATTACTGTGTCTGGTTCACAGATGAGGAAGTCCAAGCCACCAGGTAAGTGACTAATCCAGATCACTGGGGTGGCCTTGGGAGGCAGGCAAGAGTAAGGACCGGGTCCGGAGGGATCTGGAATGCACCTCCTCGCTGCTGCTGCAGTAACCCTCCTTGATTCTTCATCCCAGCACATGTACTCTGCTCAGCCTGTCACCGTCCAGGTTCCCCTCCCCCAGTGTTGGGGCATTTGGGGGGCTGCAGGGAGTCAGGCAAGCCTCTGGTGACATGAGGATATGGGTCTGCCTGAGTGACCCCGACCAATCCCTGACCTTTCCTGTACAATAGGGTGGCAGTAAGCCGCCCTCATACATTGCCGAAGGAGAGGGAGGGCACAGCTTTTGGGGAGTTGAGAGAACTGCTGGCTATTCTGAGCCTTGTCCTGAAAGGAGGCAAGCAGATTTGTGGGGACAATCTAGAGCCTTCCAGCTCGGGGCACCCCTAGTTTTCCTTAGATGCCAGTGAGAGGCCCTCTTAGCCTAGAAGCATGAGTCAGACTTGGAGGACCCTGGGGGACCCCAACAACAGCTTCCCACTCATGGGGATCAGTGAGAGGTCATATCCTGGGCACCTACTCCATGCTATTTTCCATAGCACGGACAAGCCCCATGTTCCATCATGTAGCCATCACAAACTCCCCTCAGACTTACTTATTCCTGGGGCTAAGGGGTCTTTGTCCATCTGCTCTTACTACTTTTTGAAAGTGAAAAAGCCGAAGTCGGACGCTCAACCGACTGAGCCACTCAGGCGCCCCTAAAATATTTTTTATTTATTTCTAGGAGAGAGAGAGAGACAGCGTGAGCAGGGGAGGGTCAGAGAGAGAGGGAGACACAGACTCCGAAATAGGCTCCAGGCTCTGAGCTGGCAGTCAGCACAGAGCCCAACGCGGGGCTCGATCCCACGAACCGTGAGATCATGACCTAAGCGAAAGTCGGACGCTCAACCGACTAAGCCACCCAGGCGCCCCTCCCCATGACCAATTAATTTTTTAAAAATTTATGTCTAGTTCAAAGTTATGGCATATCGATTTTTAAAAAATATACTTTATTTTTAGAGCAGTTTTCGCTTCACAGCAAAATTGAGCAGATGGTGGAGTTCCAATATATCCTCTACCTCTACACATGAACAGCCCCCCTCCCCCAAACTATCAATACTCCCGCACACACAGAGTGATACATGTGTTATAACTGGTGAGCCTACATTGACACATCATTATCAGTCATGGTCCATCGTCTATATTAGAGTTCACTCGTGATGTCCTATATTCTATGGATTTTGACATATGTATAATGTGTTTCCACCATTATTGTATCATACAGAATTGTTTTACTTTCCTAAAACTCTTGTGCTTTCCATATTCATCTTTTGCTCCACCCTAACCCCTGGCAATCACTCATTGTTTCTACTTCCACAGTTTGGCCTTCTGGAGAAAATTTATATAATTGGAATCATACACTATGCAGCCTGTATCTAAACAATCTAGGGGCATCTGGGTGGCTCAGTCGGTTAAGTGTTCGACTTTGGCTCAGGTCATGATCTTGCTCTTCATGGATTTGAGCCCTGTGTCCGGCTCAGTGCTGACAGCTCAGATCCTGGAGCCTGCTTTGGATTCTGTGTCCCCTTCTCTCTCTGCCCCTCCCTTGCTTGTGCTCTGTCTTTCTCTGTCTCTCAAAAATAAATAAACGTTAAAAAAAAATTAAGGAATCTAAAGGATTGTGGTTTTTTTTACTTAGTAATATGCATTTAAGATTCCGTCATGTCTTTTTTATTTTTTTTAATGTTTTTTAAAAAAATTATTTCTGAGAGAGAGAGAGAGAGAGCATGAGCAGGGGAGGGTCAGAGAGAGAGAGAGAGAGAGAGAGAAAGATACATAATCTAAAGCAGGCTCCAGGCTCTGAGCTAGCTGTCAGCACAGAGCCCAATGCAGGGCTTGAACCCACGAACCATGAGATCATGACCTGAGCCAAAGTTGGACGCCTAACCGACTGAGCCACCCAGGCGCCCCCTTCGTGTCTTAAAAAAAATTTTTTTTTAATGTTTGCTTTTATTTTTGAGAGATACAGAGACACAGCCAGAGCACAAGTAGGGGAGGGGCAGAGAGAGAGGGAGACACAGAATCTAAAGCAGGCTCCAGGCTCTGAGCTGTCAACATAGAGCTGGATGTAGGGTTCAAACCTACGAACTGTGAGATCATGAGCTGAGCTGAAGTCGGACACTTAACTGACTGAGCCACACAGGTGCTCCAATTCCTTTATGTCTTTTAATGGCTTGATAGCTCATTTCTTTTCAGTGCTGAGTAATATTACATTGTCTGGATGGGTCCTAGTTTATCCATGCATGTACGAAGGACATCTTGGTTGCTTCCCAGTTTGGGCAATCATGCACAATCCATGTGTAAGTTTTGGCGTGGACATAAGGTGTCAACTGATTTGGGTAAATATGGGCATATCTTGGAGATATTGCAGGTTTGATTCCACTGACTACAGCAAATAGCACAATAAAGCAAGTCAAATGAAAATTTGGGCTTCCCAGTGCATATAAAAGTTATGTTTAGGAGCACCTGGGTGGCTCAGTCGGTTAAGCATCCAACTTCGGCCCAGGTCATGATCTCACGGTTCGTGGGATCAAGTCTCACGTCGGGCTCTGTGCTGACTGCCAGCTCAGAGCCCGGAGCCTGTTTCAGATTCTGTATCTCCCTCCCTTTCTCTCTGACCCTCCCCTGCTCACGCTGTCTCTCTCTCTCGCTCTCTCTCTCACAGAAACAAATAAAACATTAAAAAAATAAAAGTTATGTTTATATTGTATTGTATTCAAGTGTGCAACAACATTGTCAAAAACAATGTACATACCTCAATGAAAAAATAATTTGTTGTTAAAAATGCCAAACACCATATGTATTTTTAGTGAGTCAATCTTTTTCCTGGAGGAGAGGGTCTTGCCTTGAGCTTGATGGCTGCTGACTGACCAGGGTGATGGTTTTTGAAGGTTGGGGTGGTTGTGGCAATTTCTTAAAATAAGAAGACATGAAGTTTGCCTCATTGATGGGACTCTTCCTTCCACAAACTATTTATCTAGTGTGCAATGCTGTTCGATAGCATTTTATCCCTACTAGAACTTCTTTCAAAATTGGAGCCAATCCCCTCAAACCCTGCCACTGTTTTATCAACCACGTCTATGTTATATTCTAAATCTTTTGTTGTCATTTAAACATCTTCACCAGGAGTATATTCCATCTCAAGAAACCACTTTCCTTTGCTCATCCATAAGAAGCAACTGCTCATCCATTCAAGTTTTATCATGAAATTGCAGCAATCCATTCCCATCTTTAGGCGCCACTTGTAATTCTAGTCCTACCACATCTGCAATTACTTCCTCCACTGAGATCTTGAACCCCTCAAGGTTATGTGTGAAGGCTGGAATCTACTTCTTCCAAACTCCTGTTGATATTGATGTTTTGACCTATTCCCATGAATCAGAAATATCCTTTAAATTTTAAATTTAAATTTATTTTTGAAAGAGAGTGCACACAAGCAGAGAGAGAGGGAGACACAGAATCTGAAGCAGGCTCCAGGCTCTGAGCTGTCACCCTAGAGCCCAATGTGGGGCTCAAACTCACAAACCGTGAGATCATGACCTGAGCCAAAGTCAATGCTTAACCGGTTGAGCCACCCAGGTGTCCCTGAATCAGAAAAAATCTTGACGGTATCGAGGATGGTGAATCCTTTTCACAAAACTTTCCATTGACTCTGCCTAGGTCCATCAAAGAAATCACTATCTATGGCAGTTATAGCCTTGTGAAATGTATTTCTTAAATAATAAGACTTGAAATTTGAAATTATTCCTTGGTTCATGGGCTGCAGAATGGGTGTTGTGCTAGCAGGCATGAAAACAACATTAATGTCATTATACATCTCCATCAGAGCTGTTGGGTGAGTGCTCATTGTCAATGAGCACTATGAGCAGTAATATTTTGAAAGGAATCTTTTTTTCTGAGCAGTATTTTTCAATAGTAGGCTTAAAATAGTCAGTAAACCATGTTGTAAACAGCTGTGCTATTATCCAGGCTTTGATGTTCTATAAAGCGCAGGTAGAATAGATTTAGCAAACTTCTTTTTTTTTTTAATTTAGCATAATTCTTAAGGCCCATAGGATTTCTGGAATGGTAAATGAGCATTGGCTTCCACTTAAAGTCATCAGCTGCATTAGCCCCTAATAAGACAATCAGCCTGTCCTTTGAAGCTTTGAAGCCAGGCATTGACTTCTCCTCTCTAGCTATGAAAGTACTAGATGTCATCTTCTTCCAACAAAAGGCTATTCCCATCTACATTGAAAATTTGTGCTTTACTTTAGCCACCTTCATGAATTATCTTAGCTAATCTTCTAGATAGCTTGCTGTAGCTTCTACATCAGCACTTGCTACTTCACACTGCACTTTTAGTTGTGGAGCTGGCTTATTTCCTTGAACCTCATGAAGCAACCTCTGCTGACTTCAAACTTCTCTTCTGCAGCTTACTCACCTCTCTCAGCCTTCATGGAATTGAAGAGAGTTAGGGGATTGCTCTGGATTAGGTTTTGGCTTAAGGGAACGTTGTGGCTGGTTTGATCTTCTATCCAGACCACTAAAACTTTCTCCAGATCATCAATAAGACGGTTTTACTTTCTTATAATTTTTCTATCACTCGTGTGTTCACTGGAGTAGCACTTCCAATTTCCTTCAAGAACTTTTCTTTTGCATTCTCAGCTTGGCTAACTGTGTGGTGCAAGAGACCTAGATTTTGGCCCATCTTGGCTTTGGACATGTCTTCCTTC